TTGAGATCAACCCCGTGACCTTCAGAGATGCTGGTGTGTACGAGTGCCAGGTGTCAACCAGCCCCAAGATTTTCCTGCCTGTGACACTCACTGTGGAAGGTACGGGGCGAGGTGTTTTTATGTTTGTTTGTTTTATTTCTAATTTGTTTGTTTATTTTATTTTCTTATTTTTTTGCTTTTGGTTTGCATGTGACGTGAAATACACATTCACATGCAACCAAATACATATACACGCAGTACACACTCTATCAGTCTATTTCTATCTGTCTGAAATATACATGTACACGTACACACAAACGCAAACACAAACACATATATAAGGCCCCCCCCCCCACTCTTTCTCTCAAAAAGACACAACCACACGTACACACATACACACAGACGAAGCTTACCACTCTTAAAATTTTTATGATTCCAGATAGCGTAAGTACCGTCTTTTACGATGTAGACTACTATAAATGTATAATTTGTAGACCGATAAGGAAAGTTCCACTTAACGTCTTGCAGTTAGATTTTCACTTTTATTTGTTATTTTATTTATTTGTTTGTTTATTCATCTGTTAACTCTTTTGAAGTGTGGGGGTGGGGGGTGGGGATAACTTCATGTGTTTTTCTTATTGTTGCTGTTTTGAATTTTTGTTGTTGTTGTTGTTTTGATAAAGATTATCTTTTTGTTTCATATAAAAGGAATAATCAAAGGAGACTACATTAAGTTCTTTTACAGTCTATTCCCTTGTGTATTTTCCTTTATTCTCTTCCATTATGTACTGCATTTTCTCATATTCCCTTTTAATATCAACCCTGTTATGTTTTATTACATTGTTAGTTCCACCCCTCATAAACCTTGTTATATTTATTTCAATTATTAATCCTCGCTTTATGTCTTATTATTCATCTTGTCACATTCTATTCCATTATCTCCCATTCTTTTTGGGCATTATCTGCACTCTCCTAGTTCATTCCATTATCTTTCCAGTCCATTCCATTTTTATTCCTTTCCAAGCTCATTCCATTATCACTTCTCTCAAAGTTCATTCCAATCTTGATAGTATATTTCATCATCAGTCCTCCCCCCTTCTATTCCATTATCAAGCCTCTTAAACTCCATTTCAGTCCTGCTATCCATTAACACCTCTCTCGTGTCCATTCAATTATCAATCACCTCCTGTTTTATTCCACTATCAATCTTCTTTTCTATCCTCTCGCATTCTATTGCAATATCAGTCCCCTCACATTCTACCAACTCTCTCCCTTTCTGCCCCTTCATCAGTCGTACCAAAGTACATTTCATTGTTTATTTTTCTCAAAGTCCATTCTATGGTTTGTTCCCCCAAATTACATTCCATTATATGCTTGATTAATACATATTAATGATAGACCTTTGATAAATCTTCCGATGCAGTCCAACACGCGAGCATCCACGGGCCGAAGGAGATCTTCATCAAGAACGGCTCGACCATCAGACTCTTCTGCGTCATCAACACTCACTCGGAGAACGTGGGGGTCGTCAGCTGGTACCGAGACATGAGCAAGCTGGATTACGACTCTCCCAGGTACGACCACTCTTGCGCGAGAAAGGGAAGGTATTTGGGTTGTGTTTGGGTACGACTTCTTCTTATTATGTGTGTATGTTTTATGGGTTGGGCGCGTGGAAGAGGAGGGAGTTTTGTGTGTGTGCATGTCATAATGGGAGGAGTTATAGGTACATGTGTGCGTGTATTTGTGTCCAAATACATACCTAAGAGAGAGAGAGAGAGAGAGATAGGCAGAGAGAGAGAAAGAGAAATATCTGAATAGATCCCCGCGTCTCAATATAAAAACCCACATTATGAATCAGACCAAAGACGCCTCACCGCCCTCTCTCCTCGTCTTTCCACAGGGGCGGCGTAAGCGTGGAGATCGAGAAGACGCCCGAGAGGACCACTTCCAAGCTCTTCCTGACAAGGGCGCTGAAGGGGGACTCGGGAAACTACACGTGCGCGCCGCAGTTTGCTCAAGCCGCTTCAGTCCTCGTCCACATCGTTAACGGTAAGGAAGTTCAAGTTTAAATAGAAAGTGGAGGAAATACCTTTGTCATGTTATAATATATGGTTTGTTTATCGATCTTGGTGGATATCAGCTTGTGTACTGCAGATTGATAGGTAGATGAAGGTATAAATAGACACACGAAACAAGCAGAAAAAAAATGAAGGACAGACACAAACGAAGAAAGAAACAAACAAATATATGCATCCCCAAACTCCCCCTTCCTCCCACCCCACACATAAACAAACACCCCCACCCCCCATCAACCCAGTCCAGATACAATCCCCAAGCCACATCAATACACAAATACAGCCAGCCAGTCATAAGTCATAAAGCCCAGCATCCTCCTCTCTTCTCCTCTCCAGGCGAAGAATCGGCAGCGGTGCACACGGCCAGCTCAGCGACTGTCGAGTGTAACAGGTTCCTTCTTAGCAGCTCCTTGTTACTGGCGCTTCTGGTCCGTGTTCGCCGGTGA